CCCTTTGACATCACACGAGCAGAAGTAGCAGTTATCACTATGCTTCCTATGCTCTCGCCATACTGCCATTAATACCCCAAAGCGAATCTTTTCCTTTTACCTTTAAACCAGAAACAAATATCCTCCACACATCTTTTGCAAACTTTATGAGGTGCCCAAGCTTTGTCTTGATCACCAAGTTTTATTCCAAAATATGCAAAACACACAGTGCAAAGTGTGTTATATTGAGTTGTTTCTTTGAATCTATATATTTCCCGCAGATAAAACAAAAAGAGCCAAGTGAATTTACGCACTTTTGCGAGGAAATTTTACGAAACTATTAGGTAAACAAAATCGTAGCAATACCAGAGGGTCACTATACCAAGAGAGGACTGACAAGGTAAATAAATGAGAGAGATAGGGGGTTAAATCAAAAGCATGACGTCTACAAAACAGCTGATCGGAACAAACTACGTGTTATTTGGCCAGAGATACATGCGATGTTGCCTCATGTGATGCAAATACTAATATATCTGTCAAGACATTGTGAATTAGACAAGGAAAATGGGCTAAATCTCATTTCGCATTTTGTGGAAAATGCTGACGTTTTAGAAATCTTCAAAATGACAGGCCATCTCTAGCTGATATTTTATTATTCTGCCAAAATCCTTCAAGCAACCTCACCATTAATACCATTCAGTTAGACCGAGGAGTTTCCCACTTGGGCAATCCAATGTTATCACTTCACACCACTGCAGAGGTATTTAGTCAATTGTCTAGAGTTTTGTCGCTTGAACTCATGCTAAACGTTATGGAAACGCCCTGTATGCTAAAGTTTCTGCAGCGCAACAAAAGAGCAGTCGGTCTTCGCCCTCATCGACATGATATAGTAAAGATAACAAAAGCCCGAGCAGGGCACATAACTCACGTTCGTCTTGTAGGAATTGTATATGTATTAAGCTTAAACTTTGGACGTGAGCTCTGGTTCCGGGCATATGTCGCCATTTTACCAGCTTGACGTCGGAGTCTTTCAGTAAATGGGATGCTCTTTTTATCTCCGTCGTGCGACCCCCCCCCCCCTAAAAAGAAAACAACGTAACTGCGGTGTAGTGAGTCCTACGTATTTGGACATTGATCTTTACATTGGCCCGGATACTTTTTGAGCTAAAAAAAGAGATAGGCGAATCTTTTACTCGAGAACTGGATTGATGATAAGGTTATACACCACGAGACGATTTTGCATATCCATCCAGTGAGCATAATATGCGTCCAGAAATCGACTTTGAACAAACTGTCCGATAGAAACAGTGTGGCCAATGTATAAACAATCAATGTGTTTCAGCTAATTTTAAAAAAAAAAGGAAAATGGATACAATTTCTTAAGTTATTCTTTATTGAGTGTCTAGGGTCATTAAAGCTGGTAGTCTTGGGTGCCAGTTGCGCTTGCTAGAACATCGTTTCTTGCATGTTTTCAAGTGCATGATTTCATCGTTAACCCTCCAGGGGTCGCGCGGCCTCAAACAACGTCATCGGTCGCGTGTATAGACGTTATCTAACATAAGGCGCGTAATTAGATTTTTTCTAAAAAGTTAATTTTATATATTTTTGGAATAAAAGCAATATTTTTTAAATGGTATTATATATATTTTATTAAAAACTGAGAAAATAAGAATCTAACTATAGAATTAACTTTTATGTGTTATGATAAACAGAGGAAATAAGAATCTAATTCTCTTCTCCAACATCATTACATTCTTTACAAATAAAAATAGTTGATAAGGTATGCTCTTTACAGATAGGTCTTTGACAGCGGTCACACTTATGTTGTGTAAATCTATTTTTCCGTGTTTGGCAATATCCGCACCTTGGTTTCTGCTCTGGATTCTGTGGGGGTGTATTTTTCTTTTGAATGCCAGTAATCGATCGAATTTTTTGTCCAAGAGAAAAAGAAATATTTGTAAGGGAAGCTCGTTTCATCATGTGTGGTCTTATAAGCTCTTTTGCCAAAGACGTAATGAATGCGCGTCTTGGTATAGTTTTTCCTGTATTGCATTTGTATATAATTTGGGAATTTATAGTAGCTATATTTAGGAAGCTGCAAAATACGGTTAAAGGCCAACGATTACTGAAACGGGTGACAGAATATTCCGCCTTCATTTTATCCGCAACATCAACGCCTCCCTTCGTAAGGTTGTAGAAGGTTATTACCTCTGGCTTTTGCTCTCTCGAATCTGGATCGATGGTGTCACTATCATGAAACGTAGATGCTTCTTAGGGATAAACGAGGTTAGAGTGCATTTATTTTTGTCTATACCATGTGCGCACATAGTACTATGTATAGGCCGAGGTTTAGTTTGTAGAAAGTCTCCAGGGATTTCCCGTTTATTTTTTCTAATGGTGTCCACATAAGTCATTTTATGGTTATGGTATAACTCGTTAGCAAGGTAAACAGATGTAAAGTAATTGTCCGCAGTAATATTTCTGCCCGATTTGTTTATTGATTGTATAAGCCGTTTCACAACGCTTGCTGCATCATTAGCTAGTTGATAAGGACCTGGAGCCTGCTTGCCCGCATAAATTTCCAAATTATGTACGTAAAATGTTCTGGCATCGGTAAGTGCATAAATCTTTATGCCATACTTGGCCGGCTTATTACTAATGTACTGACGAAAGCGACAACGACCTCTAAACGCTTCTAACATCTCATCTACAGGGTTATCCAAATTAAGTGTCCACCATTAGTAACTTTGTTATTAGTGAAAATACAAAGTTGTTTGAATTAGCAAACTAGTAGCATTTTTAACGCTGGTAAAAATGAGAAATAAAAAAAAAACAATTGAGAGTCGTTATTTTGATTTTTTTCAGTAAAATAACATTTTTTTAAATGGAAACCCCTGTATATTATATTTTTTTCTGTTAAAGCATCAAATTTTAAACAAAAAAGTTCATAATGACTTTTCCGCTAAAGTCAAAAATAAAGTCAAAATAACGATAAATATTTTTAATTATTTGAAGTATTATAATATTAAGACGGCTATGAAAACAACATGGCGTTCGCGATTTGACAGCATTAAGATAAGCGACAAATTGTTAAACTGGACATACTCGCAACTAGAAGGCTTTGGAAAACAATGATAAAATCAAATAATGTCAAACATTAGTGTAAATACTTGTTTATAAGCTTTATTGTGTCATTAATTTAAAGAAAAATGTTCTCCCATGAAGAAAAGTGTGATATGTTAGAATGCTATTTAGTGTGCAGAAAATCCTCCTTGAGAGCAAGAGAATACTACAGTGAATTATATCCCGCTCGCATTCAACCGTATGAATGATATTTTCTGAGACTTTATCGAAAATTTAGGGGCAACGAAAATGTTTTTGCTAAAACAAGGGCAAAAAAAGAATTCATAATAAGCGAGGCCACGGAAATTGCAGTTATTGGATATTTTGAAGCTTATCGTGAGAATTCAATAGCAGATATTCTCAAGGACTCTAATTTCAGTTATGGTACTGTTCAAAGGATTTTAAAAAAATACAAATTTATTCCGTATATAAGTACCGACCAGTTCAAACGCTTTTGGCAGGGGATCCAGAGAGAAGACTTGTTTTTTGCCATTGGTATCTTAGCTTCTGTCGCCAAAATGTAAATAACTTTCGTTACCTTTTATGGACAGATGAATCAAATTTTTCAAATTCTGGAATGTTTAATAGAAAAAACCACCATTATTGGTCAAGAGAAAATCTTTTGTTAGTACATCCAAGAGGCCCACAAGTCCGTTTCAGTTTCAACGTTTGGTGCGGTATAATTGGTTCAAAAATTGTTGGCCCGTTCTTTTATGAGGGAACCCTAACTGGTGAAAGATATGTGGAATTTATGTCAGAAATTCTGACTAATTTCTTAGACGAATTGGATCTTATAAGTAGACATCATCTGCATTTTCAGCAAGATGGCGCACCTGCCCACAACTCCAGAGGTACTTATCATTTTCTAAGTACTACTTTTAATGATCAGTGGATAGGAACAAATGGCCCAATACAGTGGCCTCCCAGATCACCAGATCTAAACCCACTTGATTACTTCTTGTGGGGTTACTTAAAGAACCAAATTTACAAGCGAAGGTACGATAACCTTGACGCGTTAAAGACTGCAGTTAGGGAAAAGATAACCCAGATAGATGGTAGGACCATACTTAAGACAGTTCGAGCAGTTGAAAAACGTGCCCAAAAATGTATTGAAGAACAAGGTGGTGTTTTCGAGCATCTTCTTTAAAAAAAATTGTTATTGTATTTTGTAAGATTATAAGTTGATGTTGGAAATAAAGTTTGTCGATACAATTTAATTGTTTCAGATTGGAGGCCATAACTTCAACAATTTGTACCCTAGGAGAAAAGTTATTGTGAGCTTTTTTGTTTAAAATTTGATGCTTTAACAGAAAAAAATATAATATACAGGGGTTTCCGTTTAAAAAAATGTTATTTTACTGAAAAAAATCAAAATAACGACTCTCAATTGTTTTTTTTTATTTCTCATTTTTACCAGCGTTAAAAATGCTACTAGTTTGCTAATTCAAACAACTTTGTATTTTCACTAATAACAAAGTTACTAATGGTGGACACTTAATTTGGATAACCCTGTATAGTAACATTCTGTGCGGGACTGTGACTACTAGAGCATTTGGCTACAAACATTTCATATACGAGTATATTTCGAATAGGCGCCAGGTTATCCAGCTTTGATCGCTTTTCTCGACTATCTTTATCATCAAATCTGGTAGCTCGCATAAGAACATGGAAGCGCTTTTGAGACATTGTTGCCGGAAAATAGTCTGATGCTGTTCCATCTGTTGCCCAGAGTTCGCTCGTATTGAGGTGTTGTGCCCTTTTCACACCTGCTAGGTAAAGTAGACCTATAAACGCCATTATTTCTTCTAAATCTGTAGGTAAACAGTCTCTTGGACGTCCGTAAGAGACTCGCATTTGATCCAGTTTTTGATTTGTACTCTGAACTATAGTGTTGATCATCATATCCATGGGAAAAATATTTTCCAGCAATCCATAATTTCTTTCGCTGTCTTCGCTTCTCCTATTACACCTGGAAGCTTGATCACTATATTTTGAACGCAAGTTTTTGTTCGGACACTAGGTGGTTTGTGTTTTAGCCATGGTGTGCCATCCTTTCCAGTGGAATGCGGTATTTTCTTCAAAGCAGATAGAGATAAAGGTAAACAAATATCCTCGTCATCAGAGTCCGAGGATTGCTCCGTATTAGTATCATGCAAGCTGTGTTCAGAGGCAGCGTCATCTATGTCTAACTCAGACCCTACATCTGATTCAATTTCTTCGTACCATTGCTGCCATTTGGCTTCTGTTCTTGGTGAAATCATATCTGGAAAGACCAATAATAAGTCTAATTATTGACGAAATTTGACCTGCCGTATATTTATTCACAAGACAAAATAAAATCTAACCAAGAATATGATAAAAATTATGTCAAGGAATTCATAGAAAACGAGAAAACATGACAGACAAAATCATAATCATTCTTTATTACCAGTAAAATCAAAAAGTTTGACAAAGCAACGCCACAAAAAAATGAGCTTTGAGCCCTTAGCAATATTCAAAATTATCCTTTTGTATTAGTTACGTGACAGTTCAGCTTACCAAGATTATCGACAAAATCACATACGATATAGGTCGCACCGTTACATTCTTCCTAACACTTTTAAACAACGTGATCGGTCGCGCGTTAGATATATGCTAAAATTATCAAATTCAAGATGACTATTTACTTTATTCGCACGCGAATTATGCATAGATGTTGCCTAGCGACACCTATGAGGCATTCCAGGAGTCTCAAGGCTATAATACGAATTTTTAATAAGAACTCTGTAGTGAATTATATTTTGTTAGATTTTTTCTAACACCGAGACTAATGGAGGGTTAAGCAAGGGCATCGGCACACAAAAATCACCGCATTGACGGCCAAAGACTTCTTTCTAGGGATTTTTGAAAACAGGATCCAAGTCAACAAACCAGCAGTAGCATAGCTGTAATGCTGGAAGCTATTTCTAATATTACTAAAACCATACCAACAAGCGTCAACAACGTAATCAAGATGCATTTATACTTTCATACTTAACTATCAATGTTGAAGACTGTGATAGAAGATTTGGTGTGACTCATATCATCTTGAAGATTTTGAAGAAACAAATCAGTTAGTCAGACATTACCCACTCTGCATTTGTAGCGTTAAACGTAGCTTTGGGCTCATTTTATAATATGGACTTACTTTTTATCTCCAACTAACAATTCTTAATTATTCAGTTAGCCTCCACTAATGAGAAAATGGTGAATAAATGGACACTCACCATGGTCTTAATAGAAAGCCTTGTGGAACTGTATTTTTGTTGCCACCACTCACGCAGATCCTACAATCTATTTCGTGAACCTATTTGCATTCAAAATCCAAACAAGTTCAAACCTTTTGACACTTGCTTTGTTCAAGCTATACATGGGTACATGATGAAAAAGGAAAGCATCAGTTTTCTGAAATCTCATCCATTCGATTGAAATATCTAATCTATCGCTAAGGCCCGTATCGTCAGTCGATCCTACAATTGTAGGGCGCGTTTATGGCCTCCTTGATTGTCATACTTCTTTCTCTCCTTCAAAAATTTCTAGATTACACTTGTCCCGTGTCAGCGTCAACGCTCTCCTATTGTGAAGATTTGTTTTCCTTTTAAATTGTAGGAAATTTCAGGCTGATAAAACATGATACAACTCAAAACCAAGCACAATTTGATGCAAATTGATGTTTGTGACATAACCTCAAAATAGAGCGCTGACACGGAGAATTAGAAAACTATGACAACCAAGGAGGCCATAAAGGCGCCCTAGAATTGTAGGGACGACTGACGATACGGGCCTAAGACGAGTGTGGTGATTTAAGAAGAAGCACTTCAAAGTGAGAGGCTTCTCCAGGAAAGGCGACAAGAACACCCAGGTATGTGCCAATCCTAGATTGTCTTTGTATTGCTTTGGTGTCGATTATTTACTCTGGACCAGAACGCATTACAGTCCCGCGGCTCTTCACGATTCCAAAAACGTCTTTGGAAGTACAGCCGCTCTTCTGCAGCTGATATTGAACCTCTGACAAAGCAATCTAAAATCCAATTTCCAAAATATCCACACCACTAAACGCATTCACCAACTAAAAGCAATCTCTCCGTATATCTGTTTCTGGCCAAAATTAATTAAAATATTCGAAAGTTGCTGAAACTTTTGCGGAAAATAATTAATGTACTTCCACGTACAGGTCGTTCTGCTTGATTAATTGTCCGAACAGATTTCTAGAAACCAGTGGCGTGGGTCATAAAGCTAGCACATAGTAGACCCAGACATCGACACGGAATGGAAAATTGTCTAAAAATCAATTCTTGGTGTTCAGGCTTCCGCTAGAGATCAGAAAAATCTCACTATGTCCTGCAATCTCCATAAACAGACTTCACAAGCATTTCAGTGAGAGAATCTGGAAGGACTTGGAATCGGCATATTTTCCCTACTTTGGGGTGATTTGAAGACTTTGATCTGACAACGAAGACCGAAAAGCCCGCCAAAATCAGACGTAGACATTGCTTTTCAAGCCTTATTCTCTCTAACTTCCTTCACGTTTTAAAGCTTCGTTTCTGTATTTTGGTAAAACGATAGAAGCATGGATGCCTCATTTTTACATTACACTTCTGAATACAGACCTCCATTTGCTGAAGAAGGGGATTCACGCATCTCAGCCTGTGTAATAGCTAGTGGATTCAGGTTACGAGAAAATATTGTGTTCGCTTCTTAGACGTACATTTCTTGGTGATAACGCTTTTGGACGGAGCTTTGTCACAGACAAGCCATGGATGTTCAGACAAATTGATCGGTTTCTAAATGGATATAATACGCGTAGTGTACCCGTAGCAAAACTTCCTATAAGAGAACGTGGTTGATCTATTGCTATGAGCCGTACAAAAACAAGTTAGAACGATCATAGTATGAAACTGGAATGATACGCCATACTGGGCAGATACCTCTATTTCTGAATAGATAAAGCTTCATCACATAACTCTACATCAACATTCAGAACCAAATAAAGATCGAATTGGTACATTTCCGCATGTGCATCGTCGTAAACATAATTTGCCATAGAGACGCCACATGTGTGTAGTTTTCGTCTCAAGAGAAATTATACGGTGGCTAACTGCACCACTACGTCTGCATTTCCAACCATCATTTGCTTGTACGCTTTATAAGAAAACGACAAGTGCTGTGGATAGAGTTACGGACTGGTCTAGTAATATACATATAGTTTCAGCGGCGATCCCTAGAGAACTACTAGGTGATAGCTACTCGCTTTCCGAAGAAGGGAAATTTTTGTCGGTTTTAGTCTTTTAGAATAACCGAATAAATCCAATCTTATCACCACTAATAATACTTTTGATGGTCACAAGCATCTCTTTCAGTTCCCATCGTCATCATCTTCATAGGTGAGATAAGTAGTTGTGAAAGAGCTTAAAAGCAAATCTGTGCATGACGAGAAATCATGTTACTCATTTCCCTTGGTCTGTGGGTCAGTCTGTTCGAAACATACCTGGATAATGTTATGAGATCTGAGATGATGACGTACAAATACCCGTTGAATATAAATAAGTCTAAAATGACTTACCAACCCCAGTCTTTACCCACAAGTCGCTTACCTGAAACAGAAAAGAAATAGTCAAGTTTTTGTAACAGCTGATTATAACAGCTCTCAATATGTACTTATATAGGGTGGCTCATCCATGTGTGGACGGAATATTACTCATGACAAATACATTTTGAGAAAATATATTTATGACATTTTATAGATGACGTTTGAGGGTACATTTCTATAATATTGGCAATTTTACAGGGTGTCCTACATATCAAAGTTGTGTTTTTTTAAGAGGACTGCCTCAAATTTTATTGCATAGTAGGATAAACCAATTCAAAAGACGAAGATTGATATAGCATACGATGGAGTTTTGGTAATTAGCTACTGAGATGTAAGGTGTTTTGTCCAGAAAAACCGTCCAATTTGGACTGCTGAATATTGTATAAAAAAAACTTACACACCTCAGCTTTTATCTTATTTGTTACTTTTTCGAACATTTTTGCTCATACAGGGTGGCCAAAACGCGATTTATACCTTTTCTCAAAAATTTCCATAATATTATATGTGTGCAAGTTTGTAGTCAATTTTTCATAAGCTTTTTTGTATGAGGTTTTATTCAGACAAAATCACTATATTTTCAGTTATTAAGCTTTTAATAGAACAACACACCAAAATTAAGGAAAATAAAATACGTCATCCATGGAAACAGAAGACAAATAGTGGGCTAGTTCCATATTCTTGAGTACAGATTTGACGTTAAAACTAATAACAATCAGAACAGTACGAGTATAAATCAGCTTCAAGCGTAATAGAGAAACACAACTATAACAACAACTTAAACAAGCAACTATCACTACTCTACAAAAACTACTCGAAAATATTTCCACCATGTTGAATACACAGCCGTAGTCTTTGAATAAATGACCGTTGCACATCCCGTAGCATGTGTTCTCTTATGTTCAGAAAAGCATCCTTAATCCATTCCTTCATATTTTTCGGGGTAGATGGTGGATATCTATAAGCCTCTTGCTTTACGTAGCCCCATAGAAAGAAGTCCAACGATGTCATATCTGGTGATTTAGGAGGCCAAGATATAGGCCGATCACGACCGATCCAATGATTGTTTTTACAGGTGTCCAAATAGTTATGCACACGATTGTGATAATGCGCAGGTGCGCCATCATGTTGGAAATACATATGCATCTGAGTTTGTAGGTTGACGTCCTCCAAATGCAAAGGCAGATGCTCGATCAAAAAATTCTAGTATACGGTACCTGTTAATCTGTTGTCGAAAAAGCAAGGCCCGATAACTTGTCTGCCAATAACTCCTCCGCAAACATTCAAGCTCCATTTATTCTGGAAATCTATTTGCCTAATCCAGTAAAGATGATGCATTTGAAATTTTGAGACAAACTACAATTTGCGTTTTTGACCACCCTGTATGAGCGACAATTAAAATTTGAAAAAGTAACAAATAAGATAAAAGCTGAGGTGTGTAAGTTATTTTTTGATACAAAATTCAGCACTTCAAATTTCAAAATGGCGGACTAAGGGGTTGCCGAAGTGGGGGGTTTTTCTAGACAAAACACCTTATATCTCAGTAGTTAATTACGAAATCCCATAGTACGTCATAACAGTTTTCTTCTTTTAAATTGGTTTATCCAAATATGCAGTAACATTTTGAGGTATTCTATTTGAAAAATTGCAGCTTTG